TCTAATATGTGCAGTGAAATGAAATCCAAATTTGGGGAAAATGATCTTCACTTCTCTGAGCAGGACACAACAACTTGATTGTACACGTGTGTGGTCATGATCAAACCTCGTATATTTAATGTTGAAAGTGTCAAATCCCGAAGCCTGATTGCACTTTACTAACCAACCACATGTCTTTGATTCGATTTTAAGTTTTACATTTAAAATAATGTTTATTGTTGAAGCAAAGGGTGAATGATAAAGACAACGTTTAAAATAAAACAAAATTCAGCCACCATAATTAACGTCTTCATATTTAAGTTTGACATCTGAGTAATATTTTGCCTTATTTCTCCTGAACCTTGCCAGAAAACACAGCTGAAGTAATTTGTAGTGTTACATGTGTTACTGCAAGTAAGTAAAGAACTAGGTCTCCAATCCTAGTAATGACCTTGCATCAGTAACTTCATTTCTCTGAGGCTCACTGTCTCATCAGAGGACGACGAGATTGGGTCTCTGGTTTTCAGTCAGTGCTGTACCAAGTCCTGCCGATTGGGAGTGCTTTAATCTCCCTGCCGTTCTGACTTTGCATTTGGCTTGTTGGTAGCATGCTTGAGATTTGTCTGGAAAATACTTCCATAAGGTAAAGATTACGTGGTGACTAGATTACATCCAGAACTCCTTCCCTCTGAACATTTTATTATCCATTTGTTCTTTCCTAATTCCTAGGCTAGAATCAGGCTCACAAAATACCACTGCCTTGCACTCCAGATTTTTCATGGAATACTCACCTGCCCAGTTTTACCAATCCCAATTTTACTTGTTTTTCAAGGTCCAATTCTATGGCCATCCCTTTGATGAATAATAGACTTCTTAAGCCAGGAAAAAACTCCCCTTCCTTGGAATTTCAGTAAAAGTATGTTAGTATGTTACCTGTTCTTCATTCTGTCGTGGTTACCGGTATGTGAAGAGTTGCCATGTCTAATTCCTGCCGGTCCAGTGACCACAGGGCACTCCCTGGAGAGGCCATGGGCCATCAGTAGGGGACACAGCCTCAATGGGGTTTCTGCAGACTGTCCACAGGGAAGTTTACAACCAAATTCTATTTAAATAAAAATTGTACCATCCAACTTTTTGGTGGGAAATTTTCAGCTTTTGAAAACATTAAAAAAAAGAGAGAGAGAATAATGCCCAAACAACAATAAAAATGTGTGATGTCACCTGTGCTTCTCGACTGCACATTCCCTTGCCTCTTCGGCCCCTAACACGAGCACCGTCTACTGACTTGCACCTTCGTTCACCAAAACCTAGTGACTCTTATTGGAAATGTCCAGACAGCCTTTTTATATAAATTTGAATAAGTATTGCTAAAAAGTAATGCAAACTTCACTATCGGGAGCAGTGTTGACATTGCCCGGAGATGGTCACATTGTATGCGGATCATCTTCAAAGGTGGAAGCTTTTGTTCTTACCCCGTGTCTCCCACGTGATGTTTCACAGCATAATACAAACGTCTTCTTGAACAAGAGGGAGATTCAGGGACATTTCACTGTCTCACTGTAGTTATGTAAGAGGCAGACAACTAGCCAGTTGCCTAGAAGAAAATCAAAAGTCTCATGTGGAAATTTGGGTGGGTTATAATGTGATCTTCCTGCGCTAATCTTGAAAAAGATCTTTGGACTTGAGTCTGTTTTTTATTATTATTATTATTATTATTTGCTATTTGTGAGCAGCTCTAGTGCCCACTAAACACACTAGAATACTGATAGTTTTATATTCTTTTAAATATTACTCTTCTGGTGATCATGCTATCCTTATTCCCATGTAAACCATGTTTGAATTTTAACCCATACAAAGACAAGTTGAAGCGCTCATATTTTGATTCTTTATGTAACAGTGATAGTGTTTATAATAGATTTACACCATCATTTTATTATTGTTTCCTCATTGAAGTAATTCCCAATTAACTTTTCATATTCAAGTTCAAATTTTAATCTAATCCTTTATTCTGCTTATGACTAAATAATAGTATTTAGTAGTGAGTGGGAGTTCAGGAGTAATGATTGAACGCTTCTGAACTCAATGACGTGGACTGAACATGTGCAGGCGTCATAAAATAATGTTTGAAATGATGGATACAATTATAGCATCATAAAATAACGTTTGAAATGATGGATACAATTATAGCTTTTCTTTTAAGAGAAAATAAACTATTTATCATGTATTTTACTAAAATAAATTAAAAAGTTGATCATATTTCTAAAAATAGTGTTGATTTAAAGTATTTATTCATTGATGCCCAGCTGGTGTGGCTCAGAGGTTGAGCGTCGACCACATGCCCAGGTTGTAGGCCTGATCCCCAGTGAGGGGCATGCAGAAGGCAGCCAATTGATGTTCTCTCTCATCGATGTTTCTATCTCTCTCTCTCTCTCAAATCAAAAAAGAAAACAACATATATAGTATTTGTTCATTGATTTCAAATGGATCAGATAAAAATTTTCCTAATTTTATCTTAAGTCAGCCAAGAGAAGTTCACTTTTTCTTTCTAACACAGAGGGAATTACATAAGTGGCTTGGACGGCTTAGAGTTTTGGGTACCACTCCGCACCTTATCTCTTCACCGTTGGTGGAGATGTTCTCTCCTTGACAGAGAACCCGCCACCTGCTGTGCCCAGGGAAGCTTCTGACTCCTGCCCACAGGGCCTCCGCAGATCTGCCTGTTTCCTCAGCCTTTGTTACACTGCCCCCTGCTTCTCACTGAGTAGCTCACAGTCCAACTGCTCAGTTGATTCCTTTTACTTTCTCCCCAGAAAGTACACAGTCTGTGTAACTTTACATTGAAGTTCTGTATTATTGATCTAAAGTGCTCTTATTTATGTGTGTGTGGAGGGGGAGAAAAGTAAAATTGCTCTTATTTAATGATGGGTCTAGTCTCTTTTAGGAAAATGATAGCATTTAAGTAGAAAGTAGGTAATATTTTTAAAGCTAGGTATGTATCAGATATTTCCCTTAAAAATTTATTACAATATCCATTGTAGGATTAAACAGTCTAATCATAAGAGCTTCATAAGTATTATTGGTTATAGTTCCTTAGAACTATGCTCCCTGTGTTAATATACTTGGTCAGGAATAATTAGCAGCACTGACAAATTACTACCCTCTTAGTACAATTTTTTATACAGATGATATTTTCATATTAATTACTAAAGATTCAAAAATAAAGAATGTTTTGAATGAATGAAGCCAAGTGGATGGCCACTTTTCAGAATATAAATTGTTAACTCTTTTATGAAATGAAATTTTGCAAAATTGACAATATGTTTTCTCTTAGACAATATATCATTATAAGAAACTAGTCTCAAGTATTTAAGAATTTTTATCAGCACTTCTTAAAATAGAAATAATTAGAAATATATCAAATGATTAAATAAGAGAATGTTATATATATTATTATTTTTATTATGAGCATTAAGCAGCCATAAAAGTTTTTTTTTTTTTTTTAATAACATGGGAGAATGCTCACTGGTTAATGGTAAGTGAAAAGAACGAACATACAAATATATAATGTATTTGATCATACTTACGGAATCCTGTCTGTGAGTCCGGAGCCTGAATACTCCAATGCACAGAGCTCTAACCCATCTCTGGGCCCTCTCTGGGATGCTCTCGTCCCCTCTTTGCCCTGGTGCTCCTCCTTCAGGTTGCAGACTAAATGTTACTTTCTCAAGAAAGCATTTGCTAATCCTCAGGGTCACTTCACTCCAGGTATGTCCCCCAGTTATACATTCTCATAACACTCTAATTTTCCTTCATAATACTTATAATGATTACACTGCATCACCTTGGGGTATTTTTTGAATGTCTGTCTCCCTTAATAGACTAGAAGCTTCACTGAGCAGCAACTGTGTCAAACTTGTTCGCTCAATGCCTGTCCCAGGAACCGGGACAGAGATTGAACGCAGTGAACATTTGTTGAAGAAATGAATGAACAGATGCAAGGCACTGTACTGAGAACCTTTCATGTAATCTCATCGAGACCCCACAAAAACTCAAGAAGTGAGGGCCAGGTTTATTATATTTTATGGATAAGGAAACTAATCCTAGAGAGAGAAAATTGTCCAAAGTTATTGAGCAAGTAAGTGGATAGAATCTGAACTGGAAAAAGAGTCTTATTTTTATATGTATATCTTAGTTCTTTATCCCAAAGGTGCAGCATCTTCCAATTTAAAGACAAATTTTCCCTATACACCTTAATATCTCACAAACACTCAATCTTCTGTAAGGCCTGAACATTGATTGATGTTTTTAATAATGACAGAACTGTTATTGCTGGAAGGGAGTAAAGCTCCATTGAACCCATCTTCTCATTTAAATGATCAAAGTCACATGGCGATGAGGTTGGAGAGCCCACTGGGTGGAAGCTTCCTCCATGGCTAGAGATGGAATGCTCTTTAGCTACCCTTTCTCTGAACCTGCCATCCCCCTATGCTTGCAGCCAATTTAATCTTATCACCTTCTGATTTAATGAGATAAAGGATGCCCAGTCATTTAGTGCTAAATCTATGTTTGAGTTTCATAAGACACACTTTCAAATTTTTTTTTTTACCAGGTCTTTATCACATAGTTCCAAACGAAAAGAGAATGAAACCTGCTCATTGCTGTTCCAAGATGCAATCACCATTTTATCTGATGACTTACAAACGGGAGGTTGACCAGTAAATCTCTTTTAATCAGATCTCTCAGCATTGTGAATGGTCCTCCCGGTAGCCAGACAGTATAACTCTGTCGTGGCCCCTTCTCATTTTTACTTGTTATTCTGGACGGAGCTTGCCGTGGCACTGGGGTTTTCTTAAGTATAAACCATTCCCAAATCACACTGTTATTACAGGTTGCTTTGTCCCCAGGCTCTCTAGTATTCCTTTTGGGCTATTGGTCTTCCAACATGCAGTTAGGGGATTAAAGTAAATCATTTAATCCATGCTACATGTCACTCAGTAGTATACTTTTGGAAATTGTTTCCACAGAAGCACCAGTGGACGCAGCCAGCCTGAGATATTGACACTATAGGAAAAACTGACAGCTTACTCCTTGTATTGATTCTACTCTTCTCTGCAAATATAGACTTCGTTCCCCACCACAGCCTTGTAAGTGGTAACTGCTGAGGTTTCTAAATTGCTTTGTAAATTATTTATTGCTTGGACACCTTGTAAAGACTTCTTTTCTTCTTGTCTGACGTGTTTGTGATTTCTAAGGTCTCATATATGTTGGAAAGTCTCAATGTGTTTACTGACCACAGCCTTCTTATGGAACATTTTTTCTTCCTGTTTTTTTTTTTTTTCAAACATGATCTGCTCTACCCATATTATGATTATGCTTTCTGTCATTCTTATTTGTGATATATTCATGCAAAATATCATAAATGTTTATCTACATACATTTCAGACTGAGCACTATACACAGTTAATTAGCACATTTTCAAACTAAAAAGTTTAGAGTATTTGAAGGACATGTATTTAATGATGGAAGACACAGTTTCTATTAACATATTGTTTACCAGAGCAGATGTACATATTTAGTTCAGTCCTACTGACGTAGTGGAGTCATTGTGCGGCAAAAAATTGCAAATACTTTCTTTTCTGAATTATTCTCATCTCTTAGATTTTCTTTTATTTCGTGAGCCATGCGATTTTTAATGATCATAATTTAGATAATAAGAATGCGCTCTGTCCAGTGAACAGAGCACTTTGAAATTGTGACTGCCTACTTTCAGCTGACTGAAAATACACACATATATAAACATATTCCACAGAAAGAGGTCTGTGCTTAATGACAGGAGTTTCTCCCTCCCCATCTCCCCGCCTTTCGACACTGATCGGCTCCAGACCAGTGCATACTTTGTGAACAGGAAGGGAGACATGAACAGACGGATGTAAGGCACTGTGCATGAGGGCTGGACTCATTCAGTGCCCCTCATCATCTGGAAATCCAAGGAGCTGCTCGTCTCCTCTGTTCTTTAAAATCCATTTGATTATGTTTTAAGGGTATGGAATTTTCAATCCTATCTCTACCATTTATGAGCTCTGTGACTTGAGGAAAGTTACCAAGTCTTTGAAAATAACAGAATTTTCCTACTATAGAAATTAATACTAATATTAAAATAGTGATATCATCTACCCAAAGGGTTATTGGAAGAATAAATGCACATATTAGATGTTTATAATGGTTATGACATTACTGATATATAGTTTTTGTTAAAGAATTTAGTTTTATGATTATATTTTATATAATACCAATAGATACATGTGGAGAATGAAGAAAATAGACAGTTAATAATTGTACATTAGAACCGTAGAAGCATGTGGACAATCGTTTCTGATTAGAGAAGTCTGAAGAGCATGAAAACATATTTCTAAGATCACTGTAATTTTCAGTGAAATGGGAAACACAAATCCATTAGGAGACAAAGCTTCAGATGCATTATGAAGATTTATAAGCGGAGGAAGCCAGCTATATCCATCCACACAGAATGCTCTGCCGAGTGTGCCAAGAGCTGGCTCAGGACCAATGAGCTGCTGTGGACAATGAGGCCGCTATGGCCTGGAGCTTCAAGCCCTTTCCGATGCCATCCTCTCCAGGCAAGGTTTGCTCCTGGGGAGGGTGGATTTTCCTGTCCACTGCTTTGTGCAAACTTATATTGTTATGACCTCATTTCATTTTTCCCTCCCTACTGAAGGCATTCATTTAAAAAAAAATTTTTTTTTTTTTGCATTAATCTTTAGATAGAGCAGGAGGGAGAGAGGGAGAAAGAAAGAGAGAGAAACATCAGTGCAAGAGAGACACATCAAGTGACTGCCACCCACACGACCCCAATTGGGGCCGGGGACGAACTGCAACCGAGGTACGTGCCCTTAGTGGGAACTGAACCTGGGCCTCTCTGGTCCGCAGGCTGATGCTCTAACCACTGAGCAAAACCGGCCAGAGTGTGAAGGCATTCATCTTTAAAATGAGTTTTCTATACCCATTTTTATACTCTTCTGGCTTGGGATGCTCGTTTCTTAACATCAAACCAATGTTCCGAAGCCTAGCTGGAGTGCCACGCTCCCTACCCCTCTCCCAGTTGTCCCCACTTACTTGTTTCTTCCTTTGTAAATTCTTTCAGCAGTGAGTGTCTGAATCACTCCTACTCACTAACATCTCAGCATAGACACCATCCTATCTGGGCAAATGGTTGTTTTCTATAAAACTCTTTATCTGTGTAACTGTCCATAATGAAAAGTTAGAAGGAAAACTGAAAAGCTGGTTAAAACAGAGAACATTTTCTGATGAAATCATGTTCTAACCCAGCCCGTGTGGCTCAGTGGATTGAGCGTCATCCCATGGACTGAGAGGTCCTGGTTAAGTTCTGGGTCAGGGCACTTGCCTTGGTTGTGGGCTCCATCCCCAGTAGAGGGTGTGTGCAGGAGGCAGCTGATGGAATTTTCTCGCTCACATCGATGTTTCTCTGTAAAAAAAAAAAAAAGACATTAAAAATGCATGTTCTAGCCCAAAATGGGAGCGTTCGAGTAACTCTCCACGTTTCTGCAACATTTTATGTCTATGTCCCCCTCTCACCTAGTGGAAACCAACTTTTACTGCAGTACTTCATAGATTACATAAAGCCTTCCCATGAATCACCTCATTATTCCTTGACACAATCTTATGAGATGAGTGATGATATCCTCATTTTGTGGAGAAGAACCACAGCCCCGGACCGGTTAGGTGATCCGCCCCAAGTGCCCTGAAGTCTCTTACTTTCCTGTCCGTCCCAGGGGTTCACCTCCTCACAGGAACCACAGGAGAAAGGCCAGGAAGGTACTTTTAGCTTGGATTTATAAGCAAAGAGGCTGATATGTCTTGAGAAAAACGGAGAGAAGAGTCACCCATTGTAGTGGGTTTCTGCGGCTCCCCTTTGGAGGCAGGAGGAGGGTGCTTCTCTGAACAGGACTGGTTTGACACGAGGAACAGGTGGTCGTCTGCAGACCCCTGCCTGCCAGAGATGCATGAGAGGACAGTTTGCAGATTGGAACGTAATAATGTATATATAGATACCTACACCTATGCACATGTATATTCATATATATGAATTCTAAAATTTTAAAATGTGTGAAGACATATATATCAATCTCTCTTGATATTGTTAAACAGTTAAACTGATGCATATTAAAAAATTTAAGAGTTTCTTTGAGCAAAAATCAGTTTCAATTGGAAGTGCCTAAATGGAAGGTTTGGGAGATCACGCCGCAGGAGCAGAGCTGGGGAAGACAGAGGTGCAGGGGCAGACAAAGGAACTTGTTTGTTTGGCTATAGCTTCAAGCCCAGTAGGCTGTTAGTGATTGGTTGTTGTAAAAAGTACACACCCTTTCTCCAGTAATCTATGGGAATAGCTTGGATAGGTAGGGCTCACATCGTTCTGCTTGTTTCCTACTAGGTTTGACAGGGTATATACGTGCTGTGTGGCTGAGAAGGGTTTAATGACTGAGCACCAGTGCTGTACCTTTGTATTTGAATCTATATTGAGACATCCAATGGTCCTTAGGTACATAGAAGAACTGTTTTAACACAAAGTCAGCGTTTTGTTTTTGTTTTTAATCCTTGAGGATGTGTTTTTCTTGATTTTTATAAAGAGAGAAAGGGGGAGGGGGGGAGAGACATTGATATGAGAAAGAAACATCGATTGGTTGCCTCCCCTATGCACCCCAGCCAGAGACCAAACCCGCAACCTAGGTTGTGCCTTGACTGGGAGTCAAACCCACAGCCTTTCGGTGTACAGCTGATGCTCCAGCCAACTGGGCCACCTGCCAGGGCCATGGCTGCTGCTTTTGACAAGAGCTTCCTACCCATGGCGCTATGATAAGTTGATGTGTTACAGTCATTGTGTGTATTGTGACTAATATGTTTCTTATAATACTCCACCTCAGTTTGAGGGCTGTTTGTTTTTTGTTAGAACTGAATCAGTGCTATGCCTATAAAAACTCTTATACACTCTTGAATTAAGAACTGATTTTTTGAATGGGTCAGAAGGGGTGGAGTCCCAACCCCCGTGCAGAGAATTGCGGACAACCCTGGGTGTGCCAGTGGGAGGGAGCCGCGTCTAGGAAAATCACACCATCGTGACCCTTGGCTTGGGACAGAAACGACTTTAAAGTCAGTAAAACTGAAGTTGGAGATGATCTGAGAACATAAAAATCATTGTGGACTGTTTTCAGACTACACAGACCTAAATTGCCTCCATAATCCTAAAAGCCAATAAAATTCTGGGCATGATCAGGAAAGAAAACAAAATATAACCTTACCCTCTCTTTATATTAAACAGTAGTCTTTCTGCTTTTAAAATGCCAGGTGCAGCTCTGGTTATTAGATCTCAAGAAGGGCATATTTTTAGAATTGGTATTACTAGGCCAAAACTTGTAAGCATTTTAATAGCTCTTGGTATATGCATATTTATATGCATATACACATACATTTTGGGGAGTGCAATTTGCATTGTTATCAACTTCATATGAATGATATTGGTTATCACCAGCAAATAATGTTATTTACAAAATAAGCTAACTTTCTAGGTGTAAAATTATATTTTGAGATTAATATTCTTTGATTATTATGAAATTTGGACATTTCCCTTATGTTAGTTTTCCATTTATATTTCCCTTTGTCTAAATTATATATTTATATTCTGCTGATGACAATTTGTTTATCAGATTGTTGATGTTTTTTGTTACATATTCAAATGGCTCATTGCTTATCTGCAAGTAACCCTGGGATCTAAATGAATTATGAACTATGGAAGCTAGTTTGACACTCTATTAACTTCTATCATGTTGTGAATTATACCTATTATATTTGGTGGTTCACGAGTGGGAAGGACGGTAGACATTTCATAGTTCCACTCACTAATGTAGGTGATTTTAGAAATTTCTACTAGAATCTGGGATATACTCAACCCTTAACACTTCCTATGGCCATCACTGGGAAATTTTCTTTTCAGAGGATTTTATTGGTAGTTGATTAGGGTTTAGAGAGAAGGTCTGTCTGTTTTTCTATGCTGACATTCTCTGAAAATAGGTTAGCTTTGGAGTGCAGGTACTGCTTTTACTCGTTAAATTTG